TTCAATCGGGGGAAATATCGATAATCGATCATTCACGCCTCGCCACTGTTTTGGAAGGATGTATTTTCGCTAATATAAGACGTAAAAACGTAACGTTTTTACAGATCCTATTCAATTTTGCTAATCCATCACCAGAAACCACCAAGACGCGGTTCTGTAACCAGCGTAACCTACGCATTTTTAATTTACAAGTTTTCCGAGGGAGGATGTTCGGCCGTAAATCGGGCGGGGTCGGTCGTATTCGATGTCGGGTGAGGAAAGAGGGCAGTAAAAGTGGTTGCGGATATCTGCGCAAAGGGCAAAACTGGGTTTCAAAGAATAAATTAGAGCCGCAAGCGCGGTGAAGGAGTCGGGATGGAGGACGTGGCCCACTCAATGGCTGTAATAAGACGAGTGGTTGTTTTATGGTCTTCAAGTGTGCACGTATGAGCGCCACCTCTTCCATCCTCCACCGTTGCCAGTCTACCTTTTAACCTATAAATTTTCTAACATTTCGAACAGAAACCGCTTTTAAAGCTCTCTCTGGCACTCTGCGACACCTAACCGCCGGTCACGGAAAAAAAGAGGTAGGGACTAAGTCCCAACTGTTGGATGATATGGACATTCCCAATTAATTGTGGTAATACCCCGATTAATTGGATTACATTTTGCAATACGGAACCACTATCTCTGGCTCTCTCATAAAAGCACGTATCTGCATAGGGAAGCCAACGGCATATATGTTGTTTCTAAAATGGGCCAGAAATAGTGGTTCCTTTTTGCAAAATGTAATCCAATTGTGGTAGTATCCCAATTAATTGTGGTAGTATCCCGATAAATTAGGTTACTCGCCCAACTTGAGTTGCGGTATTACCAAAATTAATGGGAAATATCCATCTCATCCAACAAATTTGGGTGGTAGAACAATTTTGGGGGATAACCCCTGACCCTTTTTTTTGGCGTGGCGTGTTTTGCGATAAATCGATTGATCTGCCATTGATGCCTACGGAAAAGGATCGATTAATATGGTGTTCGCAACGAACAATTTAATTATCGATTCTTTACCACAGCTTCAAATGGGGAAATATCGATAATCGATCGTTGACACCTTGTCACCGCTAACCACCGCAGTGTCCTATTTCCCGAAAGGGCCTTATGTAAAAAATTTAGATAGAAGGAACTTTCTCGAAATAAAGGAAGGAAAAAATCTATTTATTAAGTTCACAGGGATTTGGAGTCCACTCAGTTCTGTTGAACATTACTATCAATTTATTTGTACTAATCTGTTCCAAAAAATAAATTGCACAGAAGTACTAAATTGCAAAGGAAAAAAAGAGCTCCATTAAAGAGAATATTGGCGTGGAGAGTACTAAATCTGACCACTTTCGTAAATTAATCGTAAAAAAGTAATGGCTGAATGAAAAGGAAGTAAAGTTTCTGAGAAAAAATAATCTTGCAACTGAATAAAAAATCCTCGCCCTGAAAAAGAAAAAAGCTTCGCCTGCTCGGAAGCTCAATGAATGTCACCGCTGAAAAGCCCATCTCAAACGGCACCCTCAAAACCCCAACTTATAATAAATCAGTTCGAAACTTTTCGGCAAACAAATGATTCTTTAATACACCACAAGCCAATTGAATTTCTATCGGGAACTTTCGTAAACACGGCGCTGAAGTTTCGGAATAAATTCTCCCTCAAAATGAAAAGTCAACTTCGTAGGGCAAATAAACATGGTTCTTAACGGCAGGTGAAATTCTCATCATCATTTCCTCGTTGGAAAAGTTCCGATTAAATTTGTAACGCCTCTTATAAGTTTCCTCGATGCCGATCCACCCGAAATATCTCGTGGAAAGAATAATATACGAAATATCAAGCTCTCATATCACGTGATACCTTCGGCCGTTTTCAAGCTGAGTGGAGTCCTCGCCAGATAAGTTTACGCACTTTTAGACTGCGACGGAAGACCAATCATCTTGATTCTTGCATTTACTTTACATGAAAACGTGACGTCAGACGATCTTCTGTTGCAGTCTAGAAGTGCGTAAACTTGTTCGGCATAGACTCTACTTGTTTACCACCTGAGAAAGGGGGAGCGAGCTCATGAGGAATACTGCCATGCTAAGGAAGAACGCCGTATAAGCCATCAGACGTTGCCAAGTTTCCTTCGGTAAAAACCGAATTTACGCAGCGAATTTTGAATATTATTTCCAAAATTGTCAGACAATTTTGTTCGCAATTTAATATAAAATAACTGACAATTTCAAGGAAAAATATACATGAATGTTGTCAAAAATACATGTTTTATCCAGAGGAGTTTTGCAACTCTCGAATGTTCAGATGGCGCTCTTCCTTAGCACGGCAGAATGCTTTATAGGGAATTCGCACTGAAAACAAATTTTCTCGAGGTATTATTTTGACTTGAAGCGTCGTTTCTTGTCGACAATTTTTTGGCGCGTAAACGTAGTATACCGCCTTTGCGATCGTTTCGACCCCCCCCCCTCGATACAATAACCGAGTCCCCTAGTTCCTTACCGAAAAGTGACTACCGCGAACTTCTGAGATTTTCCAAAGCGTGTAAAAAGTTTACTAATCCGTCAATAATAATGATTAAAATTTGTTTCTCATTCTGGGGCTCGCTAGTTTATGTGTAATGAATACCAAGAGTCTACGTTTCTTGGTTTTTTTTAAAAAAACCTTAGAATGGGGCGCGCTGATTTAAAATATGCATATATAAGCGGAAGCAAGCGAACTGATTCGAGGATGGCTGACCAGTTCGGCACTCCTTGAATGAGAATTTCACTCACTCCGTTTTGTTCACAACGTTGCTTTGACATATCTCCACAACACTGTTATCCTTTTCAAAAGTTGGTACTCCTTGCTCTGATAGCCGGGGCCACCAGGATAGTGGTAAGTGCAATCTGTGATGAGCCTCGAGACTCATTAGACCATTTGCTAAACGTGGCTCATACAGGAGTCCACTAAGCCCTCTCGTCCCCACGCTCCTGATCACTGCGTCGGCGTCACGAAGAACAATGGGCCTTGGGTCCCAACGCGGCCGATACCCGTACCCCAATTACTCACGCTTCATTAACCATTTCACCGTCACGCTAGGATTCATCCAATTTTCAAAAAAAATTGTTTCGCATGTATTTAGCAATTTTTTCCTTACTCTCCGTTAAAACACAAATAAAAAGAGACCTCATTCATAAAAATCGGCCGAATAGAAGAGAAGTTACAGTAATCGAAATCCGAAGAAATCAACAAAACCTCGACTCCTCGATACGAAAAATAAAATGAAGGGGAAAAAAAGAAAGTATAAATTACAATTAAATATAATTGACCTCAAAATTTGACAAACAATTCATTTATATACCTAACGCTGAAAAAACTGGGAGAAATTACAAAAAATTTGCCTCTTGCAAGGGGCTTCTTTGTAAGAATTTTGACCTGAAGACAACGGTCGAATAACAGCAGTACTCCATACAATACACGGTGTGCCTGAACGAGTTAAACATTTTTCATACGTCCAAATCGAAAAATCTTTATATTTTTAACTACAATGTTTCTTGAATCGTTTAAGCAAAAAAAAAAAAAAAAAAAATTCCGTCGAGATTCTGGAACGCAAAGGCGCTTTAAAAGTATTCTGGGGCTATAATAGCTAAATCACCGGTAGTAAATTCGTTATATTATTAAAAAGAAATTGACTCCATAGTTTAATTCCTTAGTTTCTTGAATACGATTATTTTAAGCACTTAAACATTTATACCACCAATTTTAGCCATGGGGTGATTTCCTGAGAGCCGATAATATCACGAATTTCTCATAGAACCCCTCAACAGTGGCTTGCTTTTTTGGCAGCCGATTCGGCCATCGAACCGGAGTTTAAATGGAAGCTGATAATAACCCAAAGCTCTGAGAAAAATTTTGAGATGAGTATAAGAACGGTTTGTTGTAAGTAGCGAGGAGAGGCGGGCAAAGCGGCTAAAATCCTATCTAATTTTTACAGTTTTTCTGTTGAATTAATGTTGCCGCGGGCTTCTGACTGTCCACACATAGTTCTGTTCAGCATATCGATACATAAGTATTTACATTTTACATACGTAGAATCTAATTTTCACGTCGGGGAGTTGACATATTTTGATTTTTTCGATTTTATACGGAAAATTGATGGTTTTTCGGGATTGAAATTATTATTGTTTCATGAAAAATAAATGCACCCAAAATGACTATAGCATATTGATTCTTACACATTTGCACTCAAAAAATTGGTTGGTAAATTCAACGAGTGGGTGCATCGACCTGGTATATCAAGTTTCTGCAATTTTTTACGGCAAATCAGTAGATTTTCGGGATGTAGATTGCTTACTTTCAATTCATGAATGAATAAAGCAACGACATGGTTGAACTTCTTTGCATGGAAAGACGTTTAAAATAACAAAATCAAGACGTATTTAATGCAATTGCATTTATATCGAGTCAATTTCTTTTCAATAACATAACGGGATTTTTACTACCGGTGATTTGGGTATTTTAGCCCCAAAATACCTTTAAATCGACTTTATCTTCTAGGAGTTCGACAGAATTTTTCCTTTCTTCGCTTAAATTATTCCGTAGCACTTTTCTTCAAGAATCTGATAAGATTTTGCTTGAGGCAGATCAAAAAACTTAAATTCGATCGAATAGCTTTCTACTTTCACAATACACGGTCTCGTCAAGGTGCGTCTTTGACCTCGCAGTGTTGGATCGTGAATTCTCTTTTTATGCTGTTTGCCTATTTTGAAATCTCTGTAAATGAAAACTAAAGGGGTTGATATGTGCGAGTTAATGACGCGCCTTATCAACACATTGTGTTGGAGTTCACTGCTTGTTTTTTTTTTTTCTTAGTTAAATCCGTGCGGATTTTTGAGTTAGAGAAACGTTGTTTTGCTATTGTTTTCTCAACTTAAACTTATCTATAATGAACGGCGCTTTCAAAAAAACTGACAACCGTCAATATTCAACTTAAATAAAACAAATGACTTACGTCTATAATCCATCACTACTCCTCAACGAGCAGGGTTTCAGGATCCATCAAACTGAAACATGAAGAACGAAATTAGTTCAGGTGGCAAAAATTGTTCACAATCGGGCAGTCCCGTAAGCACTCACGCAATAAAATCAAATAATCTGAGATATAGTGTATTGAGAAGCGTTCATGATACCAAGCTAATGAAAGAGTAAATATACGCAAATTTGAAAGTCATGCGCGGACTAAAATTAACCAAAGGGAAAAAATTGACATGAAGATCGAACAAAGAAAAAGTGGAATGACGTTTAATTCATCCATAAACATACAATTGAACGCCTATTTTCACTTTAAAAATGTATTTCTTTTCGATTTTAAATATTAGAGGGGATAATGTGTGTGGCTAGCCAAGCTGATAGCGACTCGACCTAACTCATTTATCCCAAAAATGTGACTTCTTTTTCTCTGACTAGCACTCATCATATGTTCCACAAGCAAATGACAACATCAGGAATCATGTTAGACGATAGAATCATTAGATACAGTCCGATAGAATCATTTCTTGAAAGCCCTTAAAGGTCTAGTTACTAAGTGTTTTGCCATTTGCTTGCTACACGTATAACACTAAATGAGCGTGAATATTTACGCTGGTAGTTGACCTCCGTAGGACAATAAAATGCAAAACAATAACATTATTATTTTTAGACTCGGGCTCGCTTGTCACGATAGCAGGAGCGCAGAAGATACAGCGACGAGTATCAAACGTTTGATAACATATCAACGGATGCTCCTGCCTTCCCGATACCGGGATCGGGAGTAATGTGATCGATGCTCCAATCATGCCTAATCGATATTTTTAACGGTCTTGTGTGGTGAACAAGTTACGCATATCGAGATTCGATTCATAATAATTCATTATTTCATGACTGATTTATATCGACTTCCGATGCATCGAATTGGCCATGTTTACCACGGGAGTTTGCCATGGGAAACCGTTGAAAACTATCGCTGATGCTACTTGGGGTCATCCTCCAGCACAGTTTAAATGTGTCCTGTTCGACGAGTGCATCCGAAAGCCAGTAAGTCTCCTTCTCAGTCGCTTGTTTTAATACGATGGGAAATCAACCAAACCATCCATTTTTTTTGCGACGTTGCATGTCGCAGATTTCCTGCCATATTTTAACTTTTTGAAAGATAATTGACTATTGTTATTAAACGAAATTTTATATGTTATATATTACGCTTTTAAAAATACTCTCGGATATTTTTGTGCGAAGAACTGCTCAACTACACCAAAAAAAAAGAGGTACTCTAGTAACATCCTGGATGTTGAAAAATGAGCGACAACTCTTGGATGTTATCATTACCTGTTAAAATAACATCCTAGGATGTTACTTTTACATTCTATCATGCTACGTTAACTGTCAGAGTGTTAATAGCAACATCCAAGAGTTGTTGCACATTTTTTTAACAACCGTAACATCCGGAATGTTACTACAGTATCTTTTTTTTTCGGTGTATCATCAAAACGAGAGCGATGAAACTGAAAACACTGCAAACAAGATCCATTTTTTTGTATAATATCACTGTCAAAGTGCAAATTTGACTTTTGATCGGGCAGTATTGACACACTAACTCGGTGTGCCGTATTGAAAAATTCGCGTGATACTCTATTTTTTAATGAAAACCATCCATCATAATCTCTGATGGTGCGAAAAGGGAGGAGGGTCACTCGGTCACTCCGATAATAACGAGGTGCCACAAGCCACCAGATCACTAGACAGGTGCGAAAAGGTATACGTTGTTCCGCATGCCCTCTCACTAAATGTGGCGTTGAAAACCATCCTCTAAATGAGAATTATATAATTCAACACTTCAGCAGGATTCAAAGTTTAAAGTGTTTGTGAATCCAAATGATCCCTACATCAAAGAACCGTACTGCACATTGATAAAATCACGGAACGTTGCGTTGGATTCATCTAGTTTATTAAGTGTTCTTTTAGTAATATTTACTTCGATGAATCTACGAAACCATGATGCGAAGAAAGCAACATAAAAAATACGAAGTGCATGACTCGATGCGAAACCCGCTGCATTGTTATATTGAACGATTTGACTGACGTTTGCAATATGGTGAACGGAACCATCAAAGTTTCTGTGAGAAATTTTGACGAATTCTGTCCATTTGAAAAACCTAATATCTGTTCAGAAGTAGTTCTATCGACACATAAAATACTGAAAATCGTGGAAATGTATTTTCTACCATTCTTTCTCTTGGGTTATTACTTAACGGAGTTGGCAAAACTGTCATTTCTCTATGAAACAATTTTTAAGTCTGATAAAATGAGAATTGTATCGTACCTCATTAATTTTTGCCTTATCAACAACACTTTTGCAGAAAAATATGCTTGTTTGCACAGAGGAAAATACACCTCACAGCCAGCGTATCGTCGTCTGGAAAATCTGCATAATCGAGGCAATCTGCGATGCATGTTTGACTATACCTGTGTTACTTGTTTAGGTGATTAAGTCCCACGTGTATATGGTTTTGATCGCAATTTTACAAGTAGAACAAACTGCACAGTTACCGAGGCAGGAATATACGCAAGTAAACATGAAAAGCAAGTAGTTAAAACATGACAATTTTATTCACCGCAGCATGCTGGAAGAGCGGTGCATTTGTCCTATCTGGAGCGATATGAAGGGTCAAAAAATATTCCCAAGGGGCTGTCCCTCAATTTTGTAACACTTCAAGGGAGAAGGGGTCTTTTCCAGCGTTACGCGGCGTCACAGGAGGGTGGGGGGGGTATAGAGCAAAGCGTTACGGAAGGAGTTCAAGTAATTTTTTTTTTTTTTTTTCGAGTTTCTGTGGATTTTTTGGTCGGTGGTCTTTAGAAGTTTTGAAGAATATCGAAAATATTCTCTGTAATACTCTCACTTTTCCTCACTATACAGAAACACCAATCCGTTCAGTAAATGTATGGTGATCGTTAAGAATTTTATAGGGACAAGCTAGCACAGCGTTACGGAATGTTATAGGAGGGTAAGGGGGGGAGAGTAAAAAGAACTCAGCAAATTTAACGTTACAACATTTTGGGACCACCCCTACGAAAATGGAATTTTCTATACGGTAGCCGATTTTCTCATTGCAAAAACCAAAATCCCTTTGTGACTGCGAAAATCCTAGTTGCATGTCTCACAGTGTTCGGTAAGAAAAATATCCATCACTCACTCCACCTCATCCAAAAGGAACTTTTCCATCCTAATTTTAAGACATTTTCTTGGATTATCTACAGATCAGGATGAAACTTCTGCTAGAAGCACTAACCCTGTACCTCATCTCTCCTGCAGACTCTAGTTGGATCGCAAAATGTGTCTCAATTGGATGCAGCTGCATGTACGCCAGAGAAAATTACGCTTACAAGTCTCTGATACAGGTCCACGCGTTATTTCTAAGAGAGGCATCCTGCGGCCTTAACAACCTGGTTATCACTGATGACTTGAGTCTTCCCCCTCCGCCTCCTACTTCTTTGTTCTCGCCTTCGTTTGATAGTAGGGCGAAAAAACACATACTCGTTGACCTACCGGAGGAAGTTAATCTCATGAAAATGACTAACGTAAGACACTTCTATTTATCAAGGTTCTTAGGGTTTTTTGGGGGACAGTGTAAAAGCGGTTACCATGTGTTAACGTCGGAAAAAATTGTATTTTAATCAGTGGCGATTCTTGTAAGTTGGCAACACTGTTCTTTCATTTAAATGTATGTTAAACAATCGATTTTAGGTGAGTGAGCCTGTCTCGTTTAGAATCGATACATTCCGTGGATTTAAATGAAGTATGAACAGTGTTGCCAGTCTGCCGGAATCGCCTCTGATTTTAATGAGCTATTGATTATTCTCGATAAAGTTGTTGCCTGCATCACAACCCGTTCTATACCCTTCCTCAACCTATTGCGAAAAGGTGAAGTCGATGTGAGAGTTTTTGCTTCTCTATTCATAATTGGACCGCGAAGACAGAAGGAACCAAAGGAACCAAACCACATCAGCCATTGCCAACTTTAATTGGCTAATTTAATTTTTTGCATGAAAACAGTTGATTTTCGTGCAAATTTCAGTGAATTTTCTCCATAGCACGAAGCAAATTCCTTGACATTTTCAAAGGGATCAGCACAAACGTTTTCTCGTAAAAAATTAAATTGCCCAGTTAAAATTGGCAATAGCTGATGTGGCTTGGTTCCTTTTTGTTAAACGCGATCCAATTCTAAGTGTATCTGAAGCCAAACCAAAGCAGATGCAAAGGCAAAATCCCCATTTATTTTGAATCTCAGGAAGCGTTAAAATAAAAACATAACAAACTTGGTGGAAAGGAGATTTGACTTGTTTTACGGAGTCATCGTTAGATCTCTGTTAACTGAAAGGAGAGGGGGGGGGAGAAATAAAATTCAGTGACGTAGTCGTTTGCATTTAAAAATTGTGTGATTTTTAGGGAGTAAGACTCTTTTGACGCCAAGAAACATGACATTTCCTACGCACTGACGGAAAAAGAAGAGGTAGGGGTTATGTCCGAAGTGTTGGATAATATGGGTATTTCCAATTAATTGTGGTATTATACCCCAATTTATTGTGATATTATACCCCAATTAATTGTGATACTATCCCAATAAATTGGGTTACTAACCTCGAGTTAGGTTAGGTTGTGTGTGCTACCCCAACTTGAGTTGCGATACTATCAAAATTAATTGGAAATGTCCATATCATCCAACAAATTGGGAGTAGTACCACAATTTTAGGGGATAACCCCTGACACTTCTTTATCCATGCTGCTTAACGTTTTGTTCTTTATAGAAGGAGAGGGCAGCTGGGGTTTGAGTTTGTAATTGGCCTTACTAAAAGGCGCCACGAAAATGAGAAAAAACGCTCTGTAATCCGCTAATGCCCCCATTTACAGAATTTGTAAATTCATGATTGTAGTCATGATGAAACTGCTACAATAACTACCCCTAACATGTCATCATTTTTTCAAGTTTATCGATTTTGCTTATAGATGGATTTTTCGACTCTCCCAGATTATTCATACAATGGGAGTGACAAATCTCAAGATTTTGATGTGACAACCCCCGGTAAATATGATAATATTCTTGCACTGGAAATGCACGATCTGGAACTTCGACTTGACAACAACTCTACGCTCAATTTCATCCGAGTTTTCAAAGGACTAGCCATCATAGATTTATCAAACAATCGTATCACCAGAATCAAGAAAAATACCTTCATGTGAGTTTCCTTCTGATTAATGACCTCTCCTAATGAATTTTTAAGAATCATCAAAACTAATTTAGAAAGAAGCCGTGCTCATTTTCTTATAAGGCATTGGGTTGTGATTTCAAACCATTGCACGAATGTTTTTTTTTAGGAAATAATATCGATTCATACAAATCTGCTATACGTTAACCCCTCGTAAAAAGGAGCAGCACCAATGACCTTTAATAGAACCAGATAGCATTCAATGGTCATTAAGGGAATGCTGCCGAATTGAAATATGGACCGTTGTTGTGTCAGAGTGGGCAAGTTTTCGGGTAAATATACACAACATCGTACCAAATTATAACCCTCTAATAACGCCTCTATGACCACTGAGGATCATATTATTAGAACCTCTGAAAATCATTGATGATATATTATTTTTACGAGAGGTACTTATCAAGGTCCAATTTTTCAAGCTCATTTATGTTGTATTGCGGATTATGCAGCCGTCTTTTTCACGTGATATTTAATAACTTCTGAAAAAATTTAATTTTTTTCCAGGAATATGTCGAATTTAAAAGTGATAAACTTGAATAACAACATGATTATATCGATCGAACAGGACGCATTTCAAGACCTCTCCCAACTTTCAGTTTTGCAGCTATCAAAAAATTCACTCATCACCGTGCCCTCAAATATTCCACCCTCACTCCAAGTGTTGACTTTAGCTGAAAACCGGTTCGGACATTTCACGATCAATCTCCACTACGTAAGTTCGTGTTTAAACTTCATATTTGCTTTGCTAAATAATTACGACCGGGAATCCTCTGCCTCTCCCAAAATCCTTTTAGGCTTTATTTGAATGATCCTACTCCTCCTAATACAAATACGGTAAATTAATGCGATAATTTTGGGATGGTGTTCGTGTTAATGTGGTGAAAAAATTCACTAATGGGTGTTTTCACGATAACTGGAATAGTTTTGTCGCCGTAACAGACAACACATTTTCCGGTCAGATTTTTAGTAGAAATGATAACCACTCTAATTTTTTTGCATTAATCTACACAGGGTTACGTATGATAACGCTTTCTTATCATTTATTGCTCTACTTCTCAATTAATATTATGTAAATTCCGGAAATGTGCTGTCTGTTACGCGGTGAAAATTCAGCGTAACAGACGAGCACATTTTCGGCCATTTATATATTAGAATTGAAAAGTAAAGCGATAAATCTTTGAATAGCGCTATAATACGTAATTCCCTGTGTAGATTAATGCAGAACAATTCTAGTGATTATCATTACCACTAAAAACATGACCGAAAAATGTGTTGTCTGTTACGGTGACAAAACTATTCCAGCTATCGTGAAACCACCCTAATACGTGAAGGGTGATTCAGGAGTGAGTTCATAAATCCTAAGGGTCGGCTGTTTGGGTGTACAGATGGATCCTGTTTCTATGTCTGGTCTTAACCTATAATAAAAATATATTCAAAAGAATGAGCCAAATAGGCAGATCTCTGAAATAATAAAATCAAGTCTTTTTTGTGTTGTGACATTTTTTTCCCCCCGATTAAGTTCACTGTTATTATATTGACAATTAGTATTATGGATCTAAAAGAACACTTGACTTCTATATGGTGTAGTAATATTTCAGCTCTTATTGTATTTTTAATGAGAAATGAACCAGCTTCATTCATTGAATTATCCAAGAAAGCTCTTCAGGCTGAGACGGAATTTTTTAAACATTTTCATCGGCTCATCAGCTTCCGGCCTCAAAATTAAGTACCTATGACTCGAGATTTGCAACGTATCAAATTATGTGTTTCGTGTTTTTAGTCCGTGCTGCATAAGATAGGTATGCGCGCATTGTTCCTTTCAAGGTAAACAAGATGGTTCACTGGACGGTTCTGTGGTTCATTGCTCAAATACTGAAAATTGTCAAAAAAAGAAGACAAAATTGTCCGCATCAAGCGAAAATGTAAAATATTTCTTTCATTGTTTTCAGCCAAAACTTATGATATTGGACTTATGCGGGAATTTCCTGAGCAAAAGTGACCTGATCATTTTGAATGACGTCAAATTTTTGAAGCGGATCTGTCTCGGAGATAACGGAGTGGGGATGCCAGCAAACCTAAACGTGAAAGCTCCTTACCTCGCAAATATAACGCTCTCCGCTCTTTTTCAAATGCACGCCCTCCTGGACAATGCAACCGTTGAGGAATTATCTCAATTTCTCTCTCTGAAAGACTTAACTTTGAGTAAGTTTGTGTCATTATTTCTTGATATTACTGAAGCTTATGAGAAAAAATCAAAATAGAGAAAAGCGGGAATTGAAAGAAATCGTCTCCTATCGCTGCACCGACAATACTTTGCAAACTTTCATCGGCCAAGTATGAAGTAGGCACCTCATGATAGAAGTAACAACAATAGAAAAATGCTGCTTTTTACGAAATATTAGCATACTTTTTAAAGGACTATAAAACATTTTGGGGCATTTTTATTATGAGATTTGATCGTGCGCTCAAAATGATCTGCTGAAAACGATTTTATCATAAAGCCATATTTTTTCAGCTGAATTTTTAGAAAGAAACAGTTCAATATGCTTCTACCATATTTCTGAGGTAGAAAGGATTAGGAATTCTGGTATTTAAGCTATTAAACGATCCTTGAAGTAAAACAGATTATTAGTGCATGCGCATAACGTTTGCGCACATGAATCGCTTCTGTAAGTTAACTCTCAGTTTTTGTGGGAGTAAAAAGATTAACAATAAAAAATTCAGCTAATCAACCTCTTAAACAGACATTTGCCAGGAAATCAAAAAAATCCCATTATCTGCACATATTTTACAATTATAAGGCCCACAAAATGCATATTTCATTTGCATCATGGTACACGTACACTAGTACTTTGATAAGTGTAATCCTTGTAATCTGTTGATAGTTCACTTCCACATCAACACGCTCTCCTTCTTGGCCAACAAAACGCAGCTAATGAATTTGAGGTTGGAGCATTTGACCTGGAATGGGACGGAGACCAACGTCACTGAGTATTTTGAAAACAAAAATTCATTGAATAGAATCTCCCTGGATCAGAGCCCGACCCTTGCAAATTTACTGCTCTTTAAAACCAACGCAATATCAATCCTGAAAAATTTAACGCACCTCAGGTGATTATTTTTTTTATCTTCTCAATTTTATATTTGACAATCAGTTGATAAAAGCCGCTCATAGTCCGGTCATGAGTTTTTTTTAATGACAATTTACAACGGCTCTTTTATTGAAATATTTCCCGAAGGTATCAGTACGATTTGCGCTTGTCCCAACAAAATAATGCAGGAATAATATAACGTTGAGGATTTTTTCCAGCTGGGCGCTGCAGGATTTATTCGCTGTGGTCGTAAATTCGTTTCCCCTGTTGGGCAAGTGACAACGTTTCTCAATCATGCATTTCATGTGCGAAGCAAGAGAGTTCGATCACATCGATTCCATTCAACATGCCAGGCGTTACTCATTTAATTCAGTGCGCGGGAAAGACTGTCAATTTCGCGAAATGACATTTTTATGAATGGAGGGAATCTTTTATCTTATCTCAAATTCGCAACAGTTACAGCACATCCGAGTTACCATGACATTGAATTTTTTTCCGAGACACCACCACTGCAGCGGCCGCGATAATTACGCATTTATGTTTTCATTCAGCATTCAGATAATTCAGAGATCGTATTTCATTCGCTTTAATTGGTTTTGCGTGCGAATTTCAGCTATCAGTGGTAACACTCAATCAAATGCATTTTCGCTCGTACTTTGAACCAATGCTCCTTATAGATTGATTCAGTAGCCGTGTTATTCACGCATTGCCGGTGAATTGTGCCGCCCTCAAAAGCGCGTAAAATTGATCAATATAAAAAAGTCTATCGAATATGATTGTCGTAGTTACTAAATCAGTATATCATTGCGACAGTGATAATATTTAAGGTCATTCGATGGACGCCATATTTTGTATCAGAACGGCATGCGATATATCGCATCAATTGGTTCCATTTTTTCAGCTACTCGTCATTTTTCTTCAATTTTGAGATCGCAATTCTGTTGTCAGGAGACTAAAGCACTCACTTACCAATTTTAACAAAGAAATTCAACGTAATAAAGGCTTTTTTTCTTAGAGAGGAAACATCTCATTCGATACTGATATCGAAACTGCACTCGAATGCGATATTTTCTCTCTAAAAAAAACCACGCCTTTATTACGTTGAATTTCTTTGTTAAAATTGGTAAGTGAGTGCTTAAGTCTCCTGGCAACAGAATTGCAATCTCAAAATTGGAGAAAAATGACGAGTAGCTGAAAAAATGGAACCAATTGATGCGATATATCGCATGCCATTCTGACACAAAATATGGCGTCCATTTGGCGTCACCTCAACATCCATTTTTGAGTATAATTTCTCTCTTATACGAGTAGACCCGAGGCCCTTTGTCATCCGAAAAACATATTTCCATTTTTGCATTTATTCCTTTTCTTTGAAAGGTCAAGTTCATGCAAGTTGCGAATGTATTAATGCGCCTGCGTGTGTGGCAACGAGAGTAACTTGAGACAGAGGAGACGTATTTTGTTCGATGCAACAACTCGGAGCATCTCGTAACGACCGTATTTTGTTCGGATGTTGTTTATGTTAAGGGGCGTGGCCTGTTTTTATTCATTTATTTATTTTGCATAATTTGACAACGTTTTCGGAACATTGTTTCAAAACAACTGGAACGTCCTCAAAGCATGTTTCAGCGAGGTTGTAACAGGGTTTCCAACCTCACTTTTGGCAGTTCCACTCTCATTGGCTACGAAAAAGTAACGCAAATAACAGGAAACAGAAAACAGTTGTTGCGGCGAACAAAATACGTCTAGAGTACGGACATGATGCCCCATAGAGGGAGGCCTTTAAGACACCCAAGAATGGCGGCGCTTTGTTTTGAGTTTTTACGATGGGCATGGGAGGGGAGTTATCGCCAACTATTGACGGTTTTCACCAGTCGCACTTACTGCCAAACCTTACTTCAATTTTGTACGATACTGTGTAACACCTCTGTTGTGAAATAGTTGTATAAGGCGCCAGGGCACGCTGCGGCGCGGCGCGGCGGACGGCCGGCTAGCGCGCATTGGCGCCTACAAACCTAAGGGGATACTTCAAGCATTGCGCGATGCGTGGAGTATCCCCTTAGGTTTGTAGGCGCCAATGCGCGTTTCGCTCTGCCAGCACGCCGTTCCGCTCTGTGGTAGGCTCTAATATTTAAACTCGCGGAGTCAGCGATTTTCAACTCATGATTTTGAAATGTGTGCACACTCTGCATGGATTATTCTAATTTAACTTGATGGAAAAGATGAGTATGAAAGGAAAATATAAACGTGTGTTTTGTAAATATTAAGGTGGTTCTGTGTCGAATTTGACGATTTCCGAAGCCCTTTGATTTTTTTTTTTTATCCTTTTTGTTTTTACTGTGCTGCAGCGTGGTGTACGCGCAACTATCTGCGTACTAAGTATCCAATAGGCACTCATCAAGACAGTGGCTTTTTCCAGAAAAATGCCGGTTCCTCGCTATTTTAAGGCGGCCAAAGGAGCTAGAAAAGCTTTCAAAGCTGAAGTCATAATGGAGGGAACTGCCTGCATTACGGCAAAAGTCCATCTCTTTATTCAGTCAAACTCGCTCCATGTACAGATAGGGAGCAAATGCATTACATTAGCAGTGTTGCCACTTTGATTGGGAACTCCAAAGCTGGAATTGCGGCAACTCTGTTAATGAGTTTGTCCCTTAACTGGGTTTCAGGACATTCTGTCAACGATTTTTTGTCCACACACTTGTTCTGTCCAGTAGTTTACGTCCACGCGTAAAATAAGCAAGAGTGACTCGGTCCAAGTGTTATTTTTTTGTCCATGTAATTTTATAATGTCAGTATCAAAATGACGAAATTGAGATTCTCAATCTGACTCTCTCTCTCAATTTGAGAAAGAGAGAGTGTTGAGAGTTATGGTAACTCATTTTTTAAATTAAATGTTACTTCCTTCTTTTGATTTGTCTTTTCAAATCGTCATTGGTGAGTAATTGGTTTTATTTCTATTCTTAAAATTGTCGATTTAAAATATACCTTGTAAATCTTTTTTTTTTTTAATTTGTTTAATGAAAATATTACTTCATTTTAAAAGTATTTACATTTTTTAACGTGGCAAATATTTGTAAAACCTTTTCGAAGCAATGGCATCGATATCAATCTCAATGAGCCGTAGTTGGGTTGAAAGAAACTACACAAAAATGAATAAAAGAGGAAAAAACTAAGAAGCACGCAATTTTTCGTTTTTAACTTATTTGTCCATCGACCTCCTTGAGTCAAATACGTCCAATTTTGAGCGTTTAGTTGCGCTTACACCACGCTGCAGCACAGTAAAAACACAAAGTGTATAAAAGAAAAAATCAAAGTGCTTTGGAAATCATGAAATTCGACACGGAATCGCCTTAATATTTACAAAACACACGTTTATATTTTCCTTTTATACTTATCTTTTCCATCAATTTAAATGAGAATAATCCATGCAGAGTGTGCAAACATTTCAAAATCATGAATTGAAAATGCTGACTCCGAGAGTTTAAATATTAGAACCTAACATAGAGCGGAACGGTGTGCTGCCAGCGCGGAACGCGCATTGGGGCGTACAAACCTAAGGGGATACTTCACGCATTACGCAATGCTTGAAGTATCCCCTTAGGTTTGTAGGCGCCAATGCGCGCTAGCCGGTCGCCCGCCGCGCCGCAGCGTGCCACGGCGCCTCAAACAACTATTTCACAACAGAGGTGTTGCACAGTATCATACAAAATTGAAGGCGCTCCATCATATTAAGAATGACAGGGATCCTTTAAGAATACGGAGCTACCCTCGCAAAATAAATCAAGATACTGTGGCAAAAAAGGAGAGCGGTAGTCCAAAAACTTCCTAAGTCCTAGCATCCGCATTTAATAACGTTTAGCATAATTTGCCGAAAAATGCGTGGACGTAAACTACTGGAGAAAACAGGTGCGCGGACAAAAAATCGTTGACAAAATGTCCTATGATCCTTAACTGTGCACGAGGGCTCGTTTCAATAAACAGAGGTGGGCTCTAACCGTGATGTAGGCAATCCTCACCATTACAGCCTAAGTTTTGAGAGCTTTTCAATTCTACCGTGCTAAGAAAAAACGCAGTATGAATATTTGCCAAACTTTTTTCAATAAAATGTCTGTTTTTAAGGAGAGTTCTATGAATATTTTCATTTGAAAATTCCAGGTAGATTAGATCTGATTGCGGATACAATTTTGTGAAAAATTGGAGGAAAAATATCTTCTTCCCTGGAAATTCGTATTTTAACTGAGAATATTTGGCTACGTCTGAAGGCACATACGGCGTTTTTCATTAGCACGCGGCAGAATTAGCTTGGGAACTTTTTTCCATGAGAATCAGTGCACCATTGTGTTTCTCGAGTTTGACTTGGGGGAAATACCTAAATTTCAAATTCCTACGAACGCACATTGAATCCATTGGCAACCAAGTTATGGGAGTGCACTGTTCAAAATTGAGGAGTGAAATTCGGTGCCGGATTCTATATAGCGCCAAAACCCCCCCTAGCTATATGAATGCGAGGCAAAATTAGAATCATAAAAGCGTATGACACCCCGCAAAATAAGTAGATTCCACTCCGTGCACACCGTAAGAAGAAAAGATTCCGCTCCGCGTTCATATCACTCGGGGTTTTTGGGAACTTTATAGACTCCGGCACAGAATTTCACTCCAAAATGGAGATGTTGCATGTGTGAGGAATTTGCGATTTGACTACTGACTCTTACCTAAAAGTTCGCGAGGAACACGATGATGTCACTGGTTTTCTCTGAAATCAACTCCCAAATTCAAAAAAAGCTCTCAAGTTGAGGCCAAAATAGAGGGGATATCCCACGCTATCCTGGTCGTCCACCTCTACATCAAGAGAAACTCTCCATGCAAAGATAGGGAGTAAATACATTAGCAGAGTTGCCGTGTTTTCAGTTGTGGAGTCTCCAAATAAAGTGGCAGCCCTGTCAATGTATTTGCTCCCTATCCTTGCATAGAGAGTTTGTCTTGATGTAGAGGTGGACTATCAGGATAGCGTGGGATATCCCCTCCATTTCGGCCTCAACTTGAGAGCTTTTTTTGAGCTTGGGGGTTAATTTCAGAGAAAGCCAGTGGCACGATCGTGTTTCTCGCGAACTTTTACATAGAAATCAGTGGTCGAATCGCAAATTCCTCACACATGCAACATCTCCATTTTTGAAAGTAAGATGTAGGATACTCTTGACTGACACTGTGTGGTGATAAAAATGTTATGCTCCTCAGTTTGCAGTTCACGGGTATCAAGACGCTGAGCCCGGTTTCACTGCCGTCCCTGTCGAAACTCCACCTGGACATCAGCTTCAACGCCCTGATCTGCGACGAGCGACTCCAGTGGGTCGTCGACGCCCGGGCCGTCCAGCCCAACTTCCTCCTCTCCGAGGACAATACCATCTGCGCCGCGCCCGAGGAACGAAAACTCGTCGACGAACTCCGCGTCTCCAACGTCACCATGGCAACGCCGACCCCCAGCACCACCATCGGGAGCCCCGTGACGTCATCCTTGGGCCCCGCCCCAAGCTCCCGGGGCACCGTCCGGGCCCCCGTCTTCCGGACCGAGTTCGTGGACTCCCGCCTCGCCCCCGAGCAGCGGGTCTCCTACCAGTCCGAGGGAAGGACCGGCATCATCGTCATGGGTGCTGTTGTCGGGGTCCTGTCGGCCGCCGCCACCGCGCTTATATTCGTCTACGGGTTGAACAGACAGGCCAAGACCAAGTTCGCTCCACTCACTCTGAGGGGCTACAGTCAGGAAACAACGGCCCTTGTCGAGTAAGATCTCCAGGCTGATTGTTGAAATTGGTAGACAAAGCTATGGACAAAGAAGACAAAAGGGATATAAAGGCATCCTATTGGTGAAAGCGGATGGTTGAAATGGACAAGGAGGTAGGTAATAGACTAACTAACGGCAACCCACGAGAGACCCTTCAGTTCGTCCATCATTTACCCCACTGGAAAAAAAGTCACTTGGATCTAGAGTCCAGACCATTGAAAACAATGACAAGAAAAAATAATCTTGATTCAATCGGATTTTTGCTTGAATTGATAAGAAATCCGCTTGGATTAAGAGGCTTGGTTCTTGATCTAAGCAAAAATCCGATTGAATCAAGAGTATTTTTTTGTCAATGTTTTTAAGAGTCTGGACTCTAGATCCAAGCTACTTTTTTCCAGTGCCCTTGGTTGTAACAACCACTCATTTCAACCAATAGCTCCACACTTCCTACGTCTCTTTTATCTACAGCTTTGTCTATCAATTTCAACAATGCATCACCTGGCAGATGCATCCCGAACGGATAAAAAGGAATTGCAAACTCGTATCAAACAAGGGGCCGTCATTAAATTAGGAGAGAGGATGGCGAGGTAACATGCCATAAATTGCTTAAGCTTGTTCGCGAAGTAGCTGTGGTACCTGTGTAAGCAGATAGAAGAGGAAAACCTAACTGAACAGCTAGGATCTAGTCTGACTACGTAAGCACTGAGAGGCCGTTTTTAAATTAACTTTATACGCACTGGTAGGAGAGTAAGTATGATCGTGCGTTACAAGAACCTGACGAGGAGAGAAAAGGATAGGAAAAAGGCCAATATATCCGTGATGTTGAGCAAAAATTGATGTGAGATGCAGTTTTTGGGGGGTGGTTAGTAGCTCAAAAGCTTCGACACTAAATAGGTAATGAACAAAAATTCAATTGTAAACTTATAGAGGTAAAAGAAAAATTTTAATATGTTCGGAGTCTCAGATCCGCTCGATAGAGGGAGGCAAGAGTGGCCGCAGACTTCAAATCTGAGCAGCACGTATTAATTTTTATAGAACGGCCTCCCTGAAAAATCTAGAAGTCAGTATTTTTCAAGTTCAAGCGATTCAACTTGAATGCGGGAACCTAGTCTCTTGCAGTAAGGTTTTCACTGATTAGTCACACAAGAATTATGTTTGTATTGTACAGTTAATATCGCTAAGTAATTGTCTTCGCATTGTATTTCAATAAGATCTCATTCAAAAAACTTGGTTATTTATTTGTCAGCCACGTATCTTGATCGATTGATACTACTTCAAGAGGGTGATTTGAATCTGAATTAAATAAAAATGAATTTTGATAAATTACAACTTGTGATTCAATGTTAGCGAAATTCACGGTATTGCACGGTGCTACAAGAAAATTTAACCTTAAATTAAATTTTTGTAAATTTAGCACATTTTTAAATTGCTGAAATGCCTTCGCAGTCTTAAATGCCAGTCAGAAACGGGTCCCTAACAATGCATGCATGCTAGCCCTAGAGCCAGTCGAAATATCACCGTATGGATTCTTCATTATATCGAATTTGATTCCAACAATAACGCTGACATAGACCCGTTTAATGCCGTCAATGAAGATAAATTTATAAGTACCGCTTCTCCGTGGCGTATCACTAAAAGCGTCTATAAAGACACTCTAACTCGTCCATCGGATAGCCCAAACTTTTCCTCTATAAATTACCAAATAAGCGATTGGTTTCCGGCACGAAGCCTCTAAACCATGTCAAATAACCCGCCTACTTGAGAGACGGCAGGACAATTATTCCGGAAAATCGTTCGAGGCGCTTTGCCGACGGAACGTCCACAACGAAGCTCAACTCTACCGTTTCAAGAAAGAGAGTCGTAGGTGGAGTCTGGAGTGAGCCTCGAGACACGTAAGAGCCTGTGCTAACTGTGGCTCGGACAAAGATACACCTGGGGTTTTCTTCCGTAACACGCGGGAGAACTCGCTGCCCATTCCGCTACTTAAACCGCTGAAGCGACGAGCGACTGCGAAGTATTTCTGCGGAATTAATTATGAACAATGGAAGCGGGGGCTCCGTCACTGTTTCGAGTCGGTCATGAAAACCGCCTCTTCTCTAATTTTAACCCTGGATGCGGTGGACGTTGCCGCCACTCTGCCGGGCTTCAGAAGAACGCCGTATAAACATTCAAGAGTCGCCAAATTTCCCCCAGTAAAATGTTTATTTTCAAGAAAAGTTACGGATATTTTTCCTTGAAATTTTCAAGAACTCTATGTGCAATTGCGAAGAAAATTATCGGGAAATCGGAAGGAAAATATTCACGCAAGTTTACCAGGAAATTCGTGTTTTATCGAAGGAAATTTGGCAACGCTTGAAGGTTTATACGGCGTTTTTCCTTGGCGATTCCCGAGAATCCCGGTCCCTTCCGCAGGGATTTCTTGCTCCTGGATTACTCCCGGCTTAGCGCGCGTCCTCGAAACTCAAGCCGTGACTTGTCCCCGTTGGCGACCTTCTTAATCCTGCCGGCCGAAGATTCTCGTCCCTGGGGCTCCGCGATTATCACTGGATATCACGTTCGAGTTCGAGCTGCCTCTTATTGGTTTTTGAAACTCCTCATACGTCCATTCTGCCGTGCTAAGGGAGAACGCCGTATGAACCTTCAGGCGTTGCAAAATTTCCTTTGATAAAACACAAATTTCCTGATAAAATCATGAATATTTTCCTTCCAATTTTCCGGATAATTTTGTTCGCAATTTCACCGAAAGTTCCTGAAAATTTAAACGGAAAATATTCAAATCTTTCATGAAAAATAAACATTTAATCAAAGGAAATTTGGCAACTCCCGAATGTTCATACGGCGTTCTTCCTTAGCACGGCAGCATTGGTTCCGAGATTAATCCTCGTTGTTTCGATGAGGACACGAGACATGCTCGTTGAATGACCATTGGTAGTGGTAGGGGGATTCGCGTGGATCATTGCTGGACAGGACTTTAAGAAAAGATTAGAGTTAAGACTCTGAGAGACATGATTGTTTCCTCGTCAAAATATCACGCGAATTTGCTGAATACATAGAATACTTCCAAATTGACTTATATGGGTAAATGTTTGTGGTTCACATAATGAACAGTGAATTCCCATCCCTTGCTCGCGACTAACTAGGATCAATGCAAGACAAAGCAGCTATTAGATAAAAAACTGTACATCAAGCATATAAAAAGAACTTACAGAACTTAAAGTAACTTAAGTAACTTGGAACTTAAGGTATTTAAAAAGAACTTCGTCCATACACATTTCTCCCATTCTCTGATACGAAGCGCCCCTAATCTTTGAAAGCAAAAGTCGGTTTCAGGACATTCCGCCAACGACATTTTGTCCGGGCACCTGTTTAGTCCAGTGATTTAGGTCCACGCGTAAAATAAAAATTAGTGACTTGGTCCAAAGGATATATTTCAGTCCGGATGTAAAATTATATTGACAATATCGAATTAGAAAATTGAGAGAGAAGAAGGTGTTGTTATGGTAACTCATTTTTTAAATGAAATATTACTTTCTTCTTTTGATTCATCTTTCAAATTTTCATTGGTGAATATTTGGTTTTATTTAAAATTGCCGATTTAAAATATATCGTATATATATATGTATATATTCCTTTTTGAGCTCGCCCACTCGGGAGAGCTCTTTGCGATCGATTTCTTTTAGCATTGGTAGTGTCCGTGGCGACGAATGGATGGTTCTCGTTGCCGTCGGAGGAACGGCCAAAATCCCATTGATTTCAAGGTCTAAAAGTTTAATTTTCGCGGGTTACAGTTTTCCTCCGTCGAACATTTCCGTTCCCTCATTCAACTGAGGATTAATTGTTCCTCGTTTGCTACACTAGAGAGCAGCACTTTCCAGTGGCCGAGCATATCATAGCATGTTGCTATGGTTTTATATCAAATAACCTAATTGTATGTTATCATCCTCTTATCTTTTCAATGCAGTTTTTGTGTGCAGTTGTACTTGCAATTGTTATTATTTCTTAAAATAAAAAACATGGTGACCTCGACGTGATTTAATAATTTGTTCAATTAATTTTAAGTTACTAAGACTAAGATTGAGATTTGCGCATAATTAATGGATAATCCTTAAGATTGCCGTTATTACCGCCGTAATGCCGTATGCCGTTATACCGCCGTATGTTTACCATAGAAGGTTAATTAACCTCAAAATAATTGCATGCTTGAGAGCTCGGTTGAGACTCGCATTGGGATCCTTTCAGAGTTTGTTTAAACCTCATGTTAAGAATGCTTTAGGATTCGTTTGAGCCCCTCGCATCAAGAATGCTTGGGAATTCGTTTGAGCCTCGCATTTAGAATGCTTGAGAATTCGTTTGAGCCTCGCATTGAGTTTCTTTAGAGTTCGTTTTAACCTTAAAATACAGATGCATGAAGTGCTCTTTCGAGCTCCGTGCTATTTATAGTGCGCGAGGTGCTCCATTGAGCCACCCCATACCTACAAAGGCGTGATGTGCTCCATTGAGCCACTCGCATACAAAGGCTTGAAGTGGTCTCTCGAGCTCCACGCTAAAATTCAAGTGAATTCCTTTTCAGCTCTTAGTGTATACCATAAGTATTGTGTAAGAATTATGGCAGAAACGTTCCTCCAAACCGTGCTAAATTATAGTTTCTTTGAAATCTGTGCCGATAAAAATTCAGAATTCCAGACTGCCAGCTTAACAAAGTATAACCTTAATTCAAGTTGGCGACTTGATTTAAAAAAAAAAAATTAAAATTAAATCATATGATTTCATTACATTGTTGACAAGTTAAGAAAAAGCTTACAAAAATAGCCATTGCAACATTTGCCGCAAAATCACATTCATAAAAGATAATTCCATTTCTCTCTCTTTATTTCTCTTTATTTATTGTAATGTGAAAAATTTGTCATATGAAATTACGTCATAACATTTTGCATCGGCATGTAACCTCTGATAATTGGGTAAAGATTCATTTAATACATATACAATTTCAGAAAAAATCATTAATAGTTGTTAATAGTTTCCCAAAGGCGAGCTCTCCAACACAGTAGTGTTGGAACCAGCAGCTTGTTTTAAATGATAATATTACTTCATTTTAAAGGCATTTTATTTTTAAAACGTGGCATATTTTTGTAAAAC